CTCCCTACTTCCCCAACAGTTGAACTGAGTGCTGGAGTAATGGCCTTAGAAGCAAAGACATTCATCTGATTGGCTCTTACATGTTCGTTCTTTCAATTGGTGACCAAAAATCTCTAACCATTTAGTTCCTCATGTTGGCTACTTGACAGAAAGCCATAAAATTAAAAACACAAACTAATTTATTGGAAATAATCTTCCAATGCATGGTCTTTGTCAGTTTCTTTTACTTAAAGAAACGTAGGAGCGCTATTTTACAAAGTTGAATGAAAAACTTGGTTTAATTTAAGGCAAGACTTGCCCTGCATACTCGATTTGTCACTTTGTATGCACTTCGTTTTTGCCATTACTTTTCATATGCCAATTAAGTTAGATTATTTTTAAGTTTTGATTTCAAGTCATATTCAAAGCACGCTTTTGGGAAATTAGTTGTCCAAAGGTAGTATGGTTGATTGACGTATTTATGATGATACCCGCTATAAGTGAGTGTTTAGGTGACACAAAGAGAATGCGTGTTTTTTTCTTTGCCATTCCTTTATATTCAGCCATGTCGACTCAAAATTAGAAATGCCTTCTATGACACCCTGATAAATTTAGGTAGGACATTCCATTCCCACACGCAACTTCAATTCGATTAAATGTCGTATTTTGTTCTCTCTCTCTTTCAACAACAGATGTCATTCGACTTCCACACTGTCATACTCACAGCTAATTTTAGCACATTGTTTTAGACAAAGCCATTTAATTTCCTTTTTTCCTTCTTCATTTCACACCTCTTTCTCCTCCTCTCTAAATGAATTAAATATTGATTTTGTCAATTAGCTCAAATAAGAGTTATTTACCCTTCCAAAAGTTCTTCACCAACCAACAAATTAGCTACATTTATTTATGACCTATTTTTTATTTAAAAATAAATATATTACGGAAGTATATATATATTTATATGTGTGTGTCCAATTTCAGTGCTAGTTTATCAAATACAACGCTACATTCCTTCATAATCCTACGAATTTTAGCCTTCACTCAACAATTATTTTTAGTTCTTTTCTAAACTATCTTACAGCTGTCGTTTTTCGTTTGCTTATTTTTAGGGTTATATATTTGATGTGCCCTCAAGGATATTTGCCATTAAGTGTTTTCAGAGGTGATTGACCTAATTATGAGTCAGTTTATATAGAAATTTCTCACCTTCAAGGAAAAGATAACTTTGCCTTGACTTAATATCGCCTTAATAACGTCATAGTCATGAGGTAACTGTCCAATATCCCGTCAAGTTGAGACATGGGCCATCAGGATTGTTCTCAGACGATTGAATAAAACAAAATTTTACGATGTCTGATAACTAATGATACTAATACGGGAACACCCGTAAATCGAGCCCATGCCAGCGAAAATAAACAGCGAGATTTAGCGTGTTCGCCATCATTTTTGGCACAATTTTCCCATTCAAACCTCTAAATTCGTTAACCTGTAATTCAATACGAAACCTACTTCATCTCTTTCATCCCATTCTATTTTACATTGTAAATCATCATAGGCGCTATTTTGTCATTGTTACTGCAATTGTGTTGACTTACCAACCATGATAACTTTGACGTCAACAAGTGTTCGACTTTCGTGACAGCCAAGCAGGAAAGTTGGCAGGCCAGTATAAGAATGAGGGGGGGGAGGCAACGAGGCGCATGAATCTGTGATTAATTCAGTCAAACTCGCTTGTTGCTGAAGTTACTTTTGTGGAAATTTAATTGTTCTCTATCATCGTTATATTCATTCCCATTTCTTCATCCACTTCCCTATCTCTCGGATTCTTATTGACCTATGCTCTTCCTCCCCGCCCCCCCCCCCTCCCCCAAGTGACATCTTGCCTTGTTTAAAAAGGTGTTATTTAATAAATACCTTTTTACACAAAACATGTGGCTGCCACAGCCATTTCAATCATTGCTATTTTAGATTCAAAATGAGCACGTTCTATGACTCTCGGTAAATTTCAAACAAGCATATTTATTGCCCACCGAAAGCTAATTAGTGAATTAAAATGTGGATCTCGTTTGCCAATTTTCAACTAGGTATTTACTTCATTAAGTACAAACATTTGGAACAGGCCTAACCGTGATTTATTCACCGCAAATTTTATGAATTCCTTTAGAAGGAGGAGGCAAGGAATGCTGATGCGCATCGGTTTCAAATTGGAATTCCTTGACGAAAAAGGAAAAGGCGTCCCTCTCCCCCCCCTCCCACCCCCTAATCGTGTAACTATAGCTAATAGGAACTTTTTGATTTTCGATTTTACCTTATTCAACCGAAACCCCTTCATTAATCATTTCCACTATCTTGGTTTTGTCAATATCACCAATAGAGACATTTCCAAACTTTGTTTTTATGCTTTTTATGGCCACACATATGTGAACGAGTTTTGCCAGCGAAATTTCAATTGAATAAGGTAAAACAAATTTACAAGAATAGTTTCGTTGTCATTTACTCATTCTTTTCAGAAAAATTATGTAAGTTAGGGTATGGATTTCTATGATGTTGCTGCTGTAAAGTTCCGGTGTCCATATAACGTGCGGTTGGAGTAGTACTTTCAGAATTAGGCAAAATCAAGGTTTGTTGGTTTCTCTCGAAACCGGAATTTACTGTTGGCATAAAATCTTTATCCATTACTCTAATGGTCTCGAAAAGGAGTTTCTGGAGAATGTTAAGTACTCCAAGCACCGCTGGACACCCGAACCCGTGGGTTATCAAGTTGAAGTTGGTGAGAGATCGATGACTCCCAAGGGAAACATCCTGCCTGGAACTAGATGTTGGAGGTCTCCATGTCTGCCCACGACAGACATCTGAACCTATGGCCTCCACCACTTCCATCACTACCTGTCTAAAATTAAAAGGAAGTGTATCCTATTCAGTGAATGCAACGATTACAATTTCTTTGCATAGATTAAAGATGACAATCCACTATATTGATGACTACTCAATTAATAAAAATGGCACTATAGCAGTGAGGCAATTCGTGCCATCTAACATCTAATCAAGCTCTAATTCATTGTTAAAAGTCCTTAATTATCATTTATAATGCGATTTTCAGATATTTTTGCGAAGGAGATCATCCATTACAACATTTACACAGTACACAATTGTGTCAATCGTGTCCATTGACAATTAACTTAAGGTCCTTCTTAACACCATGAAAAGGCCAATCTTTGAACTGTGACATCGTAGAGCCTTGGCGAGTTAGCAATTAGTTCATCGATGGTCCTATAATCGTTAAGTTATTTTACCTCGACAATTTTCTTACAACCTAAAGAAACCTAGACATGGTCGGGGCAAACACGAGAAGTCACTGAGTTATCCTAGCGCTGGTCAACACTGCCTTGTCATTCTTCAAAATAATAATTTAAGAAAAATAATAAACTATAAAAAGAAGACAATGATTTTGCATTATCGATAGTCTCGATATTCGTGAGGCGTAACAATTAACATGGGCTTTCCGGGGCCTATTCATAAAATCTACCTCCATTTTGCTATTAATGCCAGAACCAGTCTCTTCAAACTCCTTTCTGAACAATGACCAGTGCATTCTATTTCGAGGTGATAATTGAAGCTCCCCCTATTGACCTCTTCAAATTAATGTATTCGTGCTTTGTTAGAAAAATGAGGAATGTTTTCATTGTCAATAAACACAACACAATCCTAAAATCTACTAATCACAACCTCAAAGAGTCCCAAACTTAGAATTCAATTAAAGTGTTAATTGCTTTTAGAAATACTGCCAATGGTTTTCATTAGGTTTTTTAATTTTATGTGGTATAACTGCTTCCCAACAAACCTCCTGAAACTACTTTATTTGAGGTTACGGTAGTTCTTGTCTTTATATCCCAGTGACTTCCAAAATAGTTCTATGCTTGCTCGAGAATGATTTGACCTTTACAAATTACCTTGATGATGAAGTATTGGTTGTATTTAAGATAGGTGCAATAAAAGGACATACCTGGCCGCGAGAATTTGACTTCTCCTAGTCAAAATAGCACTTGGAGTGTTTAAGGAGGTACTTTTTATTAAGGCATCAGCACATGCGATGAGAGGAAATTCATTTTCGCAGATGTAGTTGAAATCCTTTGCCAATCGTACAGCTTCGCCTGAATTAAGAAGGCAATGTTAAATTCATCAACTTAAAAGCTGATCTTATAAGCGCATGTTTTCTAAACTCTTGGCCTGGCCACCCTCTGACGTCTGTAATTATCCCTCCCCCCTCAACCACCCCCNNNNCCCCCCCCCTACCCCACCCACCCAGCTACTTTTATAGCCTGCCAAAATGCACTGAGATGTGACATAATCAATACGTGTTATCTCTTAGTCCTATAGGTCATTTTGGTTAAATCCCCATAGAATGGCAATAAAATAAAAAATTTTATCGAAAGACAATTTTTCCAATTTTAAATTCATTTTATTTTATCAGATTCGTTGAGGCGTTCTTCGTTTATCGTTGACAAACATATCAACTATGTCTTATTAAGTTGGCAAACACTACATAATAAGCCTTTTATTGGTAATTTAAGGATAAGCAATTCAATAATTCGTTTGAGATCCTAATACCTCTGCAATAGCGATTAAAGAGATGCCACAGAATACACTTTTCTAAATGTTAAAACCCATTTATTTCAATTGGGTAGCTCTAATTTTTCTGGGGCTATTTAACTGGTATAGCACATTTCTGTCGAAGTCAGTTTCTTAAATAATAAGAGTTTTAAAGGGTATCCACTTGGTTAGACGACAGAAGACACAGATAGAGCTCACAATCGAATTTCCAGATAGGGGTTCTCATCTTCCATCAGGGTGGGGAATCACCGTTGTGTATGGTTGAAAGGTTCCCGAAAGAGAATTGACATTTATATCCATTCCAAGGTAACTTCGTTCTTTGAAAACAAAGATCTAAGAAGCGGAATCCTCGTTTCCTTATCACATGAATCAACTAGCATCAATTTCATCTCCCATTTACTAATCTCGGAGTTGGGTGAGTAACTTCAAAAGAAAGTTTACAGCAGGTTGTTGTAATAGATGGTACTTATCAATTTTCGCAAGATATGGACGACGCAGTGCAAAGAGTGAAGTCATTGCATCGTAAGTTAAATTAGGCTAAATGAGAAGCTGAAAAGGTCATTCATCAAGAAATAATGGAAAGGTAAAGGTCATGATGAAAAGTGGAAAATCAAGTTGATGAAAACGGGTATTGCGAAAGGCCCGATATTCTTCCACAAATCCTCACTTTATTTCCCACGAACCTTCCCAAAACCTTCTGTATCAAATACGGGCAAGTCTTACTAGTTTCTTTCATGGAGTTGTGAGTCAGACAGGAGGCCTCCTAAATAGTACTTGAAGAAAAAATAATTTATTTCTTAATCCCTTGCATACTACACTATTTGGCAACAGCAGTCACCAACTACTAATTGTTCTGAACAAAATTTCAGAAACTTGCCACTGTATACTATACTGGAATATGCAATAAGCTATTTCACTATCGGGGGTGTGCGATAGACTTACCTCCACGCGGTGCACCCTGGGCAACGTATACTCATACGGCAAAAAAGTCTATTAACAGGCAGTTGACTTCTGACTTCAAAATACCATGGCCCAACTGCTTGTCATATTCGACCCCTTTCACAGTACTCATCTTACCTTTTTCCCTACCCTTATGTCTGTCTGCCTCTTTTACATCTGTGAATCGCTCTTCTGTTCCCCACCCCTCGACTTTCTGCAACTTTGATGAACCTTCCCTCTGTGAAGCCCGAAGTCAGCTAAATGGCTAATGCTAGCTGTCAAAACGCCTGCCATTTGAAATAAATAAATTTCACTATCGCATATATTTACACTCCATTATTTCCCAAAAAACTATAAACACCACTTACAAGATGTTTGTTCAGCCAATAATGTTGTATTGCTGTGAGTCACTCATTACAGCCTCTGAGGTAATTCTCAAGCCACTCGAGAAGACGCACAACCAGGCATAACGACTAATTACTGGAGGGATAAAATCAACTCCCATTGATGCAGTGTTCCTGGTTACAGGGTACACCACAATATGTACCCTTATCAAAGAGAAGGCCTTGAACCTATCTGAGAAGCTACTGTGTATTCCCATGGACAAATTCTTCAGCATCTACGAAAATAGGCCAAAACACCTAAAAACGCAATCTGATTTAATACAGAAAGCCATAGAACTGAAGAAAGCTTTACGAATCGATGACAAACCAAAAAGCCCCCAAAATCCATTATCAGATACTGGTGTAGAATGTTGCACCCAACTGCTTGACCATTTCAAGAAAGCAAATACCCCTCCAGAACAAGTGCGCTCATTGGGTCTTGAAATAATCAATGTAAACTATCCTGCAGATCAATGGGTCCAAGTTTTCACCGATGGGTCATACATAGAAAACCAAGCAAACGTTGGTGCAGGTGTTTACTCTGAACTATTCTCTTTCTTCGCACCAAAGGGACACAACAGAGCCCCTTTCGAAGGGGAAATAGAGGCCATTAAGATAGCACTAGGCCAATTGTGCTACCTGGATACGAAATTCACCAAAGCAGTAATTCTTTCGAACTCACAGTCAGCAGTATATTCAATTGGAAACGGAGAGCCACCCAAAACAGCTGAGATGTACGAATGTTAAACATTGTATCAGTTACTGAGAGAAAAACCAAAACAGTGATTTTGCAATGGATCCCTGGGCACTGTGGCATTAAAGGCAATGAGAGTGCTGACGCACTTACTAAGAAGGGGGCTGCAATTTTTCAAGGCATAGACCTTTGCTAAGAGGGGGACTACGATTTTGCAATGCATGGACCGTCCGATGTCTTTCCACACAATGATGGCCTTAATCAGGAGAGAATTCAAGACCTCAAGGTGCAACGAACTTAAAGCTCGAACAAAGGAGAAACAGTGGACAGTGGTACTCTCCGACATAGCTGACTGGCCAAGAATCGAAGTCGTTGCTGAGTTTAAACTACGTACTGGACACGATTGCCTGGCAAAACACCTTCACAGATAGCCGTTGATGAGTTTAGACTACGTACCGAACACGATTGCCTATAAACACCTTCACAGATTGGGAGTATACACTCAACTCACATGTACACCTTCACAGATTGGGAGTATACACTCAACCCACATGGACCTTCACAGATTGGGAGTATACGCTCAACCCACATGCCCCTTATGGGACCTAAGGGAGAAAGTGGAGTAGACCCACCTGATTCGGTGTCCAGCTCCAAAGACAACGACAGAGACCCAGAGATACTGGGAAGCCAGAAGTCAACTAACGAACTATTGTAAATTGTCCTAAAGCCTATAAATATGTTCCTCTCCCCCCCCCCCCCCCTTGTGAAAGCCGAAGTCAACTAAGGGGCTAATGATAATTATCATAAAGCCTGCCCTTTGAAATAAAAATTGTAATTTCCAAACAAATTTCATCTTCTCTCAAAGGTCTTGTTTAAGGTATAAGGTTTTGTTGCGATATTAAACTACATATTTCGATTAGCAACGCTCAATTATGTAAATAGTTATTGATTCAAGGTATCCGAATTCGTTAATATAGGGGGTTAAAGGATGGCTCCATCTTATAAGGTTCGAAATCAAATACATTTTTGTGTTATTTTGAAATGAAAGTAGGTTTTCTGTAACTTGAAATCTTCGGATCAGAAATAGCATCTAGGCAACTCTTCGGATATGACTGGTAATGAAAGCAGAAATGGATGTTAAACATTAGTATCGAGGAGAGTTGAAACCTCGTATAGCCTGACCTAATAAATGTACAAACCGTTTCTTTCCTCTTTTCGTCTATTAATTTTAGTCTTTTTTGTTATTTTATCAGTAATGTATACCATTTCACTTCATTCATAATTTTAAAGCCAACATTATGCAGCTACCTCGAGGAAGGAAAGCGAATGGCCTACCCTCTATGTTATTTTCATCATATGAGAGGACATTCCCTATGTCCATACTTCCATTGTGGTGCGTTGATCTGACTTCCCATGTCACGCCAAGGCTTAAGCTTCCTACTACTCCTTGTTAAATTCACACTCGATTTGATTTCTAAATATCTGAAACTCTTTGTACCTAATTTTCATAAGTAGTAAAAACATTTAAAATCTGAAGCTATCGGCTGTAAGCCAGTCTACTGCCCCACTTGGAATAATTAAACAACATTGAGAGTATTTATCCACATTCCCAAGATACTAATAAAATAGAAGAAAGTAAACTCACCTTCAACAAGAGAAGTGAATAATGTAACAGTTGCTGCTTTTCTACGACCAGCAGGTAAACTCAATCCAATTTTATCCAATCGATCCCTTAACGAACGACCACCGTTCTTAGATTTCGCCCTGCAAAATAGCACATCATTCATTTCTTCACGCATTAAACGCATGTTATTAATCGCAAAGTTTGTTTTACCTTCTCAGGACTCCACCAAGGAGGGAGGCATTGAGGCATTCAGGTGGGGACAGTCGTCTTTGGACTTCCGAGACAGTGACTTTGTACTTGGATGTCGAACTCAAGAGGGAGAGACGTCCTGGTACCGAACAAAATACATCAACTGGATTTGTGAGACGTCTGCTGTCAGTTGAGGATATTATCATTTTCCCGATAGGATTCTTAACTCTCAAGGCTGCAAATTCACCAAATATGTATATACTTATATTTATATGCGATCTTACTAGAACAATTCAACAAAGAAATACGCTTTTGGGGAAAATGAGGGCTAAGATCAAGTTAATAAGTGCAGTATGGGGTTTATATTGTTTAAATAGCTAGTTCGTGTTTTATAAAAATCTATTTTATTTCACTTTAAATTTAATAACGGCTTTGATGGACGAACAGAACTGTTATTCCCGTATTGCAGAATAAATCAATAGACAACCCTTTAAAAACGTCATTTCTTTGGGATATAAAGTTTTGTCCTTTAATATCAACTACAAACTATAGCATTTTCTCCTTGTTCTGTAAGTAAAACGATGAAATTTCAATCTCATCATCTTCTCCCCCCCCCCTCCCCTCCCCGCCCACACCACCTCCCACCCGATCATTAAAATTAGGTCAGTTCATGGTGTATAATTTCCTCTTTTGGACTCGGGTCTAGAGTTCAATTTCCACTTCCTCCAAACCTTAGCCTATCACCAATCAGATAAGCATTGTTTTACTTCTTGAGGATCATAACTACAATTTGGGGGGTGCGCAATAGACTTACCTCCACGTGGTGCATCCTGGGCAACGTATACTCATACGGCAAAAAAGTCTATTTACCGGCAGTTGACTTCTCACTTCAAACTACTATGACCCGACTATTTTTCCTATTCGACCTCTTTCACAGTACTCATCTTATCTTTTTCTCTACCTTTGTGTCTGTCTGTCTCTACTCTTCTATTCCCCCTCTCAACTTTTTGTCACTTTGATATTCATCCTCCTCCTCTCTGTGAAGCCTGAAGTCAACTAAAAGGC